AGAAGCTAGATACTATGGAGATTGGCAGCTACAAGGTATGCCAGTGTGACTTTCTTCCCCAATGATTTGAATTTTGTCCCTTAAGCATCATGACATTGTATTTTAGTCTCATGGAACTAGGTAACTTGATATCTTCCTAGCTGGCACTTGTTATTTTCACCAGTATTTTCTTACCAGGCCTTTGAGATAGAATTACCTTATTTCACTCATCTATCTCTACTGCCCGGCTTGAGGTCTTGGTTTGTGCACTCCACATAAGAAAAAAAAAAAAAAACCATCCACAAGGGCAGTAGCATATGGGTCAATTCTCACAGGAAGTTTCAAGACAGTATGCATTTTTTAAAACACAAGCCCATTTATTATGAGCAAGTTTTCTAGGAAGTGTGAGGTTTGCTTTGGAAAAAATAACAATGTACAAACTCACCTTTTTACACATTGCTAATGTCAAGGCTACAAATAAATAAAAAATAGAGAGGATGCAAAAAGTAAACTGCCAACCTGTGTGTGCAAACTCCGCCTAAATTTCACAGAGCTCTTCTAAACACTCACTTCCATGAAGTGATAGCCAGCAAAGGGTGCTCCGGTTCTGCATGTTGCTATGGGGAAACACATTTAAGCAACTGATCAGGAAATGGAAACTTCACCTCCCCCTCCCTTTTTTTTTTTTTATAGTGCTATGTTTCACACTTTAAGCAGCAGTTTGCAAACTTTTTGAGCTGAGCCTCCCCTGGAGTTATAATTCTTGGTTGTGTCCCCTGTGACAAAGCTCTGTCCTTGCCTCCGTGGGTCCCGCGTTTCCTGGCAGATTTCGCTAGCCTCAGAGGCTCACCGTGACCCTGCACATAACCCTTCTCTCTCTAGAGACAAGGGTCACAGTCTACTGAGCCATTTTCATCATAAGCCAGTGAGGGAGATGAAGAGAAGTTATCCTTCCTTGCACAGTCTCTGTTGTCTCCCAGACCCAGGGGGCAAAGGTGGGGGGGAGCCCGGGCCCACCCTCCACTCCGGGCTCCAGCCCAGGGACCCTAATAGTATCAGCTGTGGTAGCTGACCTTTTAGAAACATAACATGTACAATTCCCTGGGCTACTTCCCCCACAGCAGCCCTCACTTCCTCAAACTCCACTTCACCCTTACCTCAGGGCCTCCTTCCTTGTGCCTGATATGGTGTGAACTACTCAGCCTCTCCAACAGCGCAACTTCCTCCCACAGCTCCTGACATGCACACCCGCCTGACTAACTGGGAGGCTTTTAACTAATTTCAGCCAGCCCCTGATTGGCTTCAGGTGTCCCAATCAACCTAGCCTTCTCCCTGCCTTCTGGAAAATTCTTAATTGGCCCCAGGTGTCTTAATTGACCTGGAGCAACTGCCATTTCACTTATCCTGGTACCAGGGATTTGTTTAGCCTGGAGCTAATAGATCTATTTCCCATTACTTTTCCATAGCCATCTGGCCTTGCCCCGTCACACCCCCCAACCTAGACAAAAATAGACACATGCAAAAGTATGCTGGATAGCCTACTCATAAACCGAACAGAGAACTTAACACAACTTTAATTAAAATTACCTACACCGGTAAGTTTCAGATACACAGATATTTACCCCAGTGGCACAGCCAAGGCTTCCTCAGCAGTGGACCGCTTCTACTTTGCGGCCAGGCTGCACCGCTAGGGCAAGGCCAATACCTGCCCCTCCACCCCTTGGATTTTCAGGGTGGGGGAAGGCACGTGCGAGGGTCTCTAGGGGTAGAGCCAGTAGGGTTGCCAATTCTGGTTGGACGTATTCCTGGAGGTTTCGTCACGTGACATAACAATTTAATTGAATATTAATCTTTCATTCCTGGAGACTCCAGGACAATCTTGGGGCGTTGGCAACCCTAAGAGCCAGCAGAGCTGGGGGCAGAGGCTGCTGGAAGTGGGAATTGGTGTGGCCACAGTGGATGTTGACACTGACCCACAGGCTGGGTGACCCACTGAGGTGAGGCAGGGGGTGAAGGCGGTGCCCCCTCTGTGGGGATTGTCCCAGGACCCGCTGTATGCAGCTAGCACAAGCCCACCCCCTAAAACATTCCTCCCTGCTCCCTGGGGGGGCACGCCCCACAGTTTGAAAACCTCTGCACTATAGGTCATCTCTCAGGGCAGAAGTGAAAAGAGAAAACTTAGTGAGTTCAAAAGATTAAAATCAGAGCTGCCATGAAACTTTCATACCAAAAACCAGAACCAAATTAAACCTGACTTCTGCTTTTGTTACAGACACAAAACTCAGGCCAGGGTTGGCCAAAATGTTTAATACAGCTCGCACCTATTTCAATAGGCCAGGGTTACATTTCAAATAACCCTAAACTAAGGTTCAGAATAAGTAACTAATGAATGTGGAAATAGTGTTATTTAAAGATAGTGACTTTCCATTCAGTTTAAAGGAATTTCTTTCTAAATAGTATTTATGGTACCACTCACTATGCATTCGGCAGTTTCCAAATGCTAAAAGGACAGCCCTTGTGTGGGAGAGAGAGACAGAGAGAGACAGAGAGAGATTAATGAATTTGCTCTATATCCTTAGCTAATAGCGAGTTGGCTTTTAGCTCATATGGTAGCGGCTCACACACTAGGCTCCACAGGTCCTAGGTTCAATCCCGCCTGCTGACAACCAGTGTCTGTTGGCATTACACTTGCACTGAAAAGCTTACTCTAAGGAAAAAGTATGTACTAATGTAAACCTGAAGCAACCAGAGGAACTCTGGGACAGATTGAGTAAGAGCTGCAGAGATGGTAATTCGTTAAAGTCCAATCATTTTTGCTTTAGGCCTCCAGGAAAGAACTATTATCAGTAATACTATCAATCATCTGCCACTTGGAGCCACATGTTAGAGGCCTTGAGTACATTAACCCTAAAAAATAGAGACAGCAAAGGATATTAAGCTCATCTGATCTCTCTCAGATAAGCAGAATGGTTTCCTACAGCTTTATACTCTAGAGCAGCGGTTCTCAAACTTCATTGCACCGCAACCCCGCTTCTGACAACAAAAATTACTGCATGACCCTGGGCAGGAGTGGGGAGACCGAGACAGAGCCCAAGCCCCGCTGCCCCAGGCTAAAGCATTCAGGCTTCAGCTTCAGCCCCGAGTCCCAGGCAGGACCCCGACCCCATCAGGCAGCCCCCAGACCACGCTGGGCCAGTCGACAGCCCCTGGACTCTGTGAGGCTGGCCAGCAGTTCCAGACCCCCGCCATGCGGGGCTGGACTGCGACCCCACTGGGCAGCCGGGAACCCAGACCCCGCCGGGCAGCGCAGCAGCCTTTAGCACACAGCTGGACTGCAGCTGTTTTCTAATTGGGCCACATGCGGCCTGTGGTTTGAGAACCGCTGCTCTACAGCCTGCCCTTCCCCCTGCAGCAGAGTTGGGCCTAATCTACTATCTCAGGGCCTTCTGCAGCCCTGAGCATTGCATGTGTTTGGCTAGATTACACCACCCAGATGGATAATTTTAATAAGATGTTCTATTTATCTTTTCATCACATATTTTGCCTCTAATGTTCAAATTATCAGTGGCACAGAGTAGTCAGCAACTAAATACAAAATAATGTGAATAAAGAAAGACAGTAAACAGCAAATATCTAGCAGAGTGGTGGAAACAGAATCATGTCTTGCTTTAGGTGTCACTGGGCCAGGTTTTATTTCTGTGGATGGGAAAGCATTCTGAATACAGTGCTGCAGTGTGGACACATCTACATAAGTGGAGGGACTATTACATGTGGAAGGGGGAGAAAAAAGGAGGGAATACCACTAAGTATTTTATACTTTCAAAGTTTTATATAAATGCACGGTCACAATAACAATTTCACCCTTTGAGAAAATGGAGGACCAGTGAGGTGACTTGCCCACAGCCCCATAAAGTCAGTTACAGAGCTGAAATCCAAACACAGGAGTTTGCTCCGTTCAATTCTTTTAATCATTTCAGTATTATGCTCACCAAGAACATTTGCTCATGCAAGCTAGTTAATATCGAGAAGGCCAGAATTATTTTAACTCAGTGCTGTTGTTTCCAATTGTACATCTATGCCTGAGGCCAACATTTATTAACAAAACAGTTCTTAGACATATGACTCAAAAAGTTCTAATTACTCCACATGGCTAGGCTTAAAACCACAGTCTCTAGAGCAGGGTTCAGAATATAGTCAACACATTCTGATAAAGCTGAATGCTGTAGGTGGTGTGACAAAGCTCTGTCCTTTTCTCCGTGGGTCCCGCGCTTCCTAGCAGATTTTTGCTAGCCTCAGAGATTCACTGTGACCCTCCACGTAGCCCTTCTCTCTCTAGAGGCAAGGGTCATAGTCTACTGAGCCATTTTCATCATAAGCCAGCAAGGGAGGTGAGGAGAAGCAACCCTCGCTCGCACAGTCTCTGTTGTCTCCCAGTCTCAGTGATTAACTGGGGGGGAGCTCAGGCCCACCCTCTACTCCAGGCTCCAGCCCAGGGACCCTAATAGTAGCAGCTATGGTAGCTGACTTTTTGGAAATAGGACGCGTACAATTCCCTGGGCCACTTCCCCACAGCAGCCCCCACTTCCTCAATATCTACTTCACCGTTACCTCAGGGCCTCCTTCCTTGCACCTGAAATGGTTTGTACTGCTCAATTCCTCCAACAGCGCAGCTTCCTCCTACAGCTCCTGATACACGTGCCCAACTGACTAATAGGGAGACTTTTAACTAGTTTCAGCCAGCCCCTAATTGGCTTCAGGTGTCCCAATCAACCTAACTATCTTCCCTGGCTTCTGGAAAGATCTTAATTGGCCCCAGGTGTCTTAATTGACCTGGAGCAGCTGCCATTTACTTATCCTGGGAACAGGGATTTGTTTAGCCTGGGGCTAATACATCTATCTCCCACTTCTTTTCTATAGCCATATGGCCTTGGCCCATTACAGTGGAGAAGAAGGCCAACCCCATCCAAAGTCTGGCACAAGTATAGTGCATGGCTCTTCCTGAAAGGAGGTAAACAACTAACTGAAGAAAAATCAATTGCTTTTATTAGATTTCACCATGTAAAGACTAATACACATTTTTAACTGCAGTTTTAAACCCAAGGATTGAGAGGAGAACAGGGAATTGAGGGGAGAACAGCAACATGCAGAGCAAGCAAAGAATCCAAACAACATAGATTTTGAACATGGATAGTCATTTCTAAAAGCCTGTCAGAGACCACTCACCACACGTGGTGCCTCCACAACTCTGGGAATTAGGTCTTGCCAGGCGCCACCCTCCTCTGGCAAGGTCTCTACCCATCCTCTCTTTCACCCGAGGCCCCTCTCACCCACGGAACTGCAGCTTCCTGTTTGTGGCTTGGCCCTCCACCCAGACCACTAAGGTCCGCCCCTACCAGGGAAATCGCAGTAGTTCTGGAGCAGTTATCTGTCTGACATCTCCATGCCCTGTGCCACGTTCCAGTGGCTGGCAGGAGAACCCAGACCCGCCCTCTACACTGGGCTCCAGCCCAGGGACCCTCTAACAAGCAGTCAAGGTCTGTACAGTCCTTGCTGCTGTTTCCCTGGGCTTCTTCCTATTTATCTGGCTTCACCCTTTCTGGGTTTGCGAGCTGCAGCTCCCTCAGTCAAGATGAAGTCCCAGTGGAACTGAATGCAGAGTTTCGATCCAGGTATCAGAACACTTACTTGAGTGTGGGTAGGGGTTTTTGTAGGGAAACAACAACGGTTCAAGGGAGAACACTAGATTTGTTTACGGGTAAACTGATGACTCAAGGGTTTTCTTTAGGCTAGACTATAGGAACTGATCATTCCTAGCTATGGGTGTGTTCCTTCAGGGGAGCTCACAATGCAGTTAGGCAGCTTCAGTATTTTGGATATCAGTCTGGGATTCATTACTAGAATTGGTCTGATAACTACTGAGCTGGGTGTGTGCAGGCATAGGTTCATTAACATCTGGAGCAGAGATCCCCCATGATGCAGTGCTTCCCTGCTTTTCTGGTCCCAGAGTTCAGTGCAGTTCTTGCCTTGGAATCTCTGTGCTCCAATCTGTATGCTAATGAAGATGCCTCCCTGTCCCATCTTTGATGCAGATGAGGCTAGGGGAGTTGCCTTAATCCTGTCACCCTTGTCAGGAGTTGTTTAGGTGCATCTCCCACTGCCTTTTCATTGCTTTTCATTGCATCCGATGAAGTGAGCTGTAGCTCACGAAAGCTCATGCTCAAATAAATTGGTTAGTCTCTAAGGTGCCACAAGTACTCCTTTTCTTATTGCTTTTTCTGTAAGTCTTTCTTTTGATTGGTTTTGGTTCAAGCAAAGGCTGGGGAGGGGGGGATGTCCTTTGTGAGTCAGACAGGCTGGTTACTGCGCCCTGGTTCCCCAAGAACACAGAGCTGACTGGTATTACTGTTCCTGCCCAGCTGAACCCATTTCCAGTTAGTGGCCTGCTCCCAGTCTCCTTCAGGTGCAACCTGGGCAGTTACATGGCCCACCTAGCCACTTTAACCCCTCCAGGCCTTGTGTGGGATGGGCACCGCATCACAAAGCCTGAACACAGAGGCCTTATTTCTGCTCTAATTCACACCCTTTGCAATCCCATCAAAGCCAGGTTTGTCAGGACACCGAAAAACCCGCAGCTGGCCCATGCCAGCTGACTCAGGCTCGGGCTGCGGGGCTGTTTCATTGCAGTGTAGACTTCCGGGGTCAGGCTGGAGCCAGAGCACTGCGACCCTCCCACCTCACAGGGTCCTAGAGCCTGGGCTTCACCCTAAGCCCAGATGTGTACATGGCTGTGGAACAGCGCCACAACCCAAGCCCCATAAGCCCGAGTCAGAGCAATTTCACAAGATTTTTTTACCCAACCCTAATTATCATCTCCTCCAAAAATGCTTTTTACTTTCCAGCAGTCCTCCATAGTCACCACATGGAGAAGTTCAAGATGGCATGTAGCAGCTTTATCACTAATAACTCAAGAGAAGTTCAGTTACTAACATTTGAAAAGATACAAACAGGAACAGGGCAAATAAACAGTGCTCCCAAAGGGAAAAAGTCAGCACAGGACTGTTGAAGTTCTTGCAGTGGAGGGTAAACTTTTGATTTTTACATATTTAGAAGAGCCCTATGTTTCTATAAACAATTCAGATATCCAGCCCTTGTCCTGAAGATACCAGATGCTAGATGTTGTGCAGACATGCAACAACAGATGTCATGATAATAAATAATGCTGCCCTGGGCTACTAGAGGAATGGGACCCAAAACAGATTGCATAGTTATTTAGCGTTCCCTGGCTCAAAGCAATGAACTAGAGATAGGATTCAAAGCAAGATATTGTGGCATATACAAACCAATGACAGCTGAATTCTGCCCATGGTGATCAGCAATCAAACACTTGTGGCAGATCCAGCAGTGTCACATGCCTAGAATCTTTACCTCGCCCACAGACTTAAGTGAAGGCAGTTACTGCAGTGAGACTAAATAAAGGGCAGAATATAGTTTCTCAAATAACCTCCAGGTTGAAAGAATCCTTTAACTTTTGGCAAAAACATAATTTAAAAGAGGCCACATTCTCCTTCAAACAGCCATGGCATTTTTTTCCTTCTCAGACTGATGTCACCATGGTCACCTACAAACCCAGCTGGCAGTTAGCTCTCCCTTAAAATGCAAAAAAAAAAAAAAAAAAAAAAAAAAAGTCCATTTGATTAGTACTTCTGGTCCCCAATCCTCATACCGGGCATGCATCCAAAGACAAGTGACCATCCAAGAGCTCGAACTACATAGTTCAGGCCCTTCATTTTCAGTTTTTACTGGAAAATTCCCAAGTTTTCCAAAAAGCTATTGTTCAGCTTTTACTGATTTTCACCCAGTTTTTGGACTACTCGAATATATAAATATACTGCTTATGTTAAGGAAATCCAATACATGACATTAGGTGATGTGTTTATGTTAATAATAAGTTTGCGTTTCCATTTAGGCTAGGCTGTCTGTTAAAGTAAGGCAAATGTAGTGGAAGATGCACACATGCATACACGTGCAAGTGTTTACATACAGTTCATGAAATAAATCACAGCGTGAGCTGCTTTTACTTTCAATATTCCTACTTCTCTCTGTTGCTTTTTCTTACTAACCCAGAAAACCATGAAGTTAATTTTCTGCCCTCATTTTCATCCATGTTTTTAATTTTTTGTTAACTGAAATTCTGAACACTGAAATTCCCAGGAAATTTTAAACAAAATATAAACTGAAAACAAGGGGCCTTGCACATAGTACAGGATCTGACCTGAGGTGCTGGGCATTACCAACCTCATTTGACATCAGTGGATCCAAGAGTGTTCAGCACCAAGCCATATTCCAAACACTGCTACCTAAGCACTTAAGACAAAATTAATCTTTGCCATCTGTAGTTAGACTTACATAAATGATGCTTAAGGTTTAATACTATTCACACACCTTGGAGGTACAGCTTTGTAGCTAAGCAGAAGATTTATCCATTTGCATTGCAGTTCACTCTACATGTTATGTCTGTTTGGGTATGTGTATTCAATACCCTTTTGACCCATCAGGTTTCTGTGCATTGTTAATGCAGTATTATATATATTACAGTAATGAACATTAGACCCAAAGTCTGTACCACAGAAGGAGATCCATAAGAAATGGGAAGCACGTTAGCTGTCCGAAGAGGAGGGTTTCTTAGGTCTAGACGACAGGAATTTTGCACCTCTCTTTGTGGGATTTCGTTCTCATTCTCATTCATTGATTTACTGTCATTCCGCACCTGGAAGAATTCAAATAATATTGCCCTGGAAGTCAGATTTATAATACACTTATTAAAAGTCTTATAATAGAACTTTGTTAATTCAGGTGAACCATTCTTAAACTGTACTGCAAAATACATTCAGGATGAGGAAAGCAACTTTCTTGTCTTAATCTAATCTTTTGCGCTCTCATGAGTTTCTTCAATATAAAAGATTTCCCAGAGCCTGCTATGGCACACATCCTGGCAAAGGGAGACACAGCTAGCTGTTCAGCAGGTAAATCTTTTGGTCCATGCCTGCTGTGGATACCTCCACTGTAAATCTCCTGCTGAACTGAGTCAATTAGTATCTCCACCATAGTCGGCTAACAGTCTTAACACAAAAAGAAAAGGAGTACTTGTGGCACCTTAGAGACTAACCAATTTATTTGAGCATAAGCTTTCGTGAGCTACAGATGCATCCGATGAAGTGAGCTGTAGCTCACGAAAGCTCCATGCTCAAATAAATTGGTTAGTCTCTAAGGTGCCACAAGTCCTCCTTCTCTTTTTGCGAATACAGACTAACACAGCTGCAACTCTGAAACCAGTCTTAACACAAAGACTTAAACTTCTCTAACAATTTTTCACCCTTCTGAATTATTTTAAGTCAGTGAAAGATGGATTAGGGGTCATGAAATCTCCAGTCACATCACAATGTCAGGCAGCTGGCTGCACGTGTAAAATTCAGCATAAGACACTGCTATTTTTAGAACTCAAGAGCTAGTTCCTAACACTGGTATATTTGTAGTAGCCAACTGAGCAGTACTTTGATTAGGAATTAAAGAACAGTGGCAGTTACCGGAGTCCTCTGTAAAAAGAAACTGTCTCTGTATTGTTCCATCCACGCTCTTCCCCTTGCCCCTTGTCTAATCTTTGCTTCCCAAGAGCCATTTTGAAGCTTTGCATTAACTGCCTTCCCTGTTTTTCACATCCTTCCTGCACAGCAAAGAAGTGGGGCTTTGAGAACTTCAGTCTCTTTTCCCCCTTGGCAGCAACCAGAAATTCAGTGTTTGTCAAAATAATTTTTTCAACTGCTTTAATCTTACTTTTTCCACCTCCTTGAAAACACGGAGCAAGTTTTCCCTTAAAACTCCTGTCAGTTCTCTTTCGGTCCAGCCTCTTCTCAGAAGTTCCGCAATCAACGCAGAGTATTTCGAAACATCTTCCAGTCCTTCAGGGAATCTGTTAGTAATGACCACAGAATGACACACCATATAAGCCGTGCTTCTGGATGAATCATGTAGAGAAGGGTTTTAAATGATTGTGGCAAGGATCCAGTTACACTGAGAAACAGGTCACCAGAGGGCTCAACCCTTCTCCCAATTAAGTCAAAATCAAAAGTCCAGCTAACTGGTTGAATCCCAGAGCCATATCAAACAAGGTCTTTCTGCAGGAAGCATTACTTTAATGGGACTAAACTGTGCATTCTAGAGAAAGGCGACATTCTGTGCAGACAATAAAGCAGCATGGGCAGTATTAAAGAAATAACACCACTCATTCATGAATACACCCCTCATTCCCCACGCCCCATCTCTGATGGCCAGGAAAACATCTGTGCAACAGAAGGCTGTAGTGCACTTTACCTATGACATGCTATACTATCAGAAAGAGAGTCTGTATGCATATGATACACTGAACAATTGTGGACCATTCTTTGTACTCTACTATACACATTAAGTCATTTATCAGAATAATCTAGGGGGACAAAGTCCTGGGAGAAGTCTCAGTTTTGAGCTCAATGGGAGTTTTGGACCTGCAAAGAAAGCTACATGAAACCCTCCATTTGAAGGGAATACAATAAGCAATCTGATGTCTATTGTGTAATTCCTGTCACAGCAAAGAAAGTTGGAAGGAAGAAGCAGCCAAACCTATACATAACTGGTCTTCCAGGGTTTATTTTTGTGGGCCTTTGGCATTGTTTTGAGAGACTATGTGCAGGGCTGATTGTTTTAAATCTGCGTCAAGCAAGCTAGCAGTGTCATCCCTTTACTCCATGGCTCATTCAGCACTTTAGGAACCCCCAGCACCAATTCTATTGAATAGCTGAGTGAAAATGTGTACAAGACAAGAAGCTCCAACTGTTATCTGTCACCGCATAGGAGATTCCTGTTACTGAACGGCTAGTCCCTGTGACAGCAGACTTTTCTTTTGTGATCCACCATTTGATATGACTTGTGCCCAAGTGTCTCAGACACAAGCAAGAAAGATGCACAAGGTCATGAGCCAACAGAAGAAGAAAGGAGAAAAGCTTAAAGGCAAGCAGGTAAGCACCAAGCAGGCTAATCTTATGCTAGAATACATTTGTTATGCAGGGCCATATATTACCCCAGAAGCAATCACAGGCATGAGTAGGGGGAGCCATGGTGCAGAGATCAGATTGCTTGTTTTGAAGGGAGGAGGGTTCCCTGGCAGGGCAGAACAGAACGTTGCCCCCCAAGCACCTAGATCCTAGGAACCAATGGAAGCCATAGCCATGCCTCCACATTAGCCCAGGGCCACATGGTCCTTCCCTAGCTGCTAAGAAGGAGAGAGGGAGGGAATAGTTATACAGTACAAATGGCTCATAGAAGAGCTAACAGTCTGAGGCAGGGTTAGATTTCTACCATTCATTGCTGGCACGTGCAAATCCCTGACCTCAAAGAGGGCACCTCTGAGGTTAGGAGGACAGCAGGGGGATTGTTGTGCTGGCAAGCTCATTTCCACCCCACACCAAATGAAATGTATCTTCACACTAATCTAGAAGGGAACGATCAAGCCCTTGCTTTATTAAAATGTGTTTTAATAATAATTGCACAACAATTTGCTCCAAGAGCTGTGGTCTGCCTTTTTCAAAAGAACCGAAAGAAAATCCTCATGAAGAGCACGTTATTTTTAAAGGTTTCAGAGTAGCAGCCATGTTAGTCTGTATTCGCAAAAAGAAAAGGAGTACTTGTGGCACCTTAGAGACTAACAAATGTATTTGAGCGTAAGCTTTCGTGAGCTACAGCTCACTTCATCGGATGCATTCGATCCGATGAAGTGAGCTGTTGCTCACGAAAGCTTATGCTCAAATAAATTTGTTAATGTCTAAGGTGCCACATGTACTCCTTTTATTTTTAAAGTTATATATTGTTTTACTCACTGATCCACTCCGTCATAGTCACCACCAATTCCTATTGATTTTGAACCTGCAATTTTCTTTATGTGGTCAAAATGATCTAGAAGAAAAGACCAAAGAAAACAACGTCAAAGCACAGAGCAAGAAGAAAAACTATTTCAGACATATTGGTGTTTGGTTAACATGTCTCACAATGTTTAGACAAAGCACTAAGTTCACTTTAAATATGTGACGACAAAAAATACATGTAGAACATGAGCTAAAATTCAATGATGTATGTGACATGCCCTTGATATTTGCTTAACTTGACATTTGTATTCAGTGCAGTACTAGTCCTCTTGACAATAAAATAACTAGGCTGATGAAAAGTGAGTTGAGGAATATGACTGGCTCATATGCAGGACATGAATTCTCTAGAAATACCTTGTATATAGCAATGGAAATTGCATTACCCCTTATTTCCCAACACCCCTGGGGTTTGCTCTACTCTGAGACTAACTATTTACAGTCAGGGCTTTTCCTGGGGATTAACACCCACTTAGGATTTAGTTAATGGTCCACTTTGGGCCATCAGTTCCTCAGCTACTTATTAATGACCTGTGTCTCTTATTATTGTTCAATAAGTGTAAACTCTAAAAACGACCTGATTTAGGGATCTAAAGGGGTGTGTGTTACAAGCCACTGAGTGGCTGTGATTTACACAGTGTGGGGATGAGTGAATGTGTGTGTTACAGCAACAAAGATTCGCACTTGAAATGTGGCTCAGACTCGAGAGAAATTTATAGAAGGAATCATTATTCAGAACTGCAGTATATTAGATGCAAACCTGCCACAGTTGCAACATTCACAACCTCTCTTCCACAGGCCAGCACCTTTGTATAGAAAGTCACCATCACAATTCCATTGTTCTTTTTCTGCAAGATAGAGGGACGTATTGTGAGCAGCTATTCACAGGCCCTGTGTCATGGTCACCCTCAAGTGATGTGAACGCAGCTCCATCTAGAGCCCATCAATGCCATTCTACATGTGAAGGTCAGTTGAGAGCACACACTGCTGCCTCCCTATCCCTTATATGCAATCCTCATCTGGTGTAAGTCAGCATAACTCCATTTACTTCAGGAACCATGTCAAACCAATGCAACTTCCTCTCATTGCAAGCATTTCTTTTCAACATGCCAGCAATCGTTCCACAGTCACATATCGAATATAACCCAAAGCCATATCTGAAGAGCAAATGCTTAATTTATTTCTTATTGCTTGTGAACTGGACTTCAGAGATGGCAGGAAGAAAAGTACACACTGAATCCTGTATGCGCAGGATTGTCTTGGGCTGGCCAAAGGAGTGAAATCTTTTCAAATCACTCACCAAACTCCGGAGAATATCATCAGGAACATTTCTTGAGTGGTTACAAACAGAGAAGGCTGACGAATGACTGAAAATGACTGGTGCTTTGGAGATCCGGAGAACCATTCTTGAGGTGGAGTCTGATGTATGAGATAAATCTATCATCATCCCCAAGCGATTCATCTCCATCACCACTTCCTAACACAGATGTACAGACAGCAGTATTAGTATTGCATTCTGTTAAAGGAGATGGGTTAACAGATGTATGTGACTAAATACTTACATTCTGCAGCTGTCATAAAAGTGGGTATAGGTCTCTCTACGTGTGTGGTTTTTTGTGGCTACCATAGGCTTCCTAATCGTTTCTCTAATGGGGACTCACTAGCACATCACAGAGTCTCCTTCTCAATGCTATCGGCAGTTATCACATATTTAAAATCTCAGCCATATAAAATCTAAGGTCTTGATAATTCACTGTATACTGTATAGTTCACTGTATACTTCACTAATAAGTATTGCTGCTAATACAAAATGTTGCAATTTCTTACTCCTTGAATTCTCAGTGTTCTGAAATCACTATGAGAAAATTGTACTAATTTACCAAATTATTTGCTGCATTTTGCCAGATTCTACATCACTCATGCCTTAAATAGGCACTTGCAACACTCATGGAAACCAAACAGACCTGCATGCACTTCTGACAGGAAAATTTAACCCAGTTTACTCATCCCACCGGTCTGAACACTTGAAAGGTAAGGAGGACTTCCCAGGATAAACTTTGAAACATAACTGGAAAAAAAGGAAATTGGGGACCTCAAAGTCATGAGTTTAAACTTATTTAATTTATTTTTGAAGTTAATGCCTTGGAAATAAATTTTCAGACCAAATTTGTGCTTCTCAAGTTTTGCAATTTTCTGTTTTATGTGCTATGTTTTGCTAGCACTAATGACGTTCTTCTACTTTCAGATTTAAAAGTATCTTGTTGAATAGAGGTGGCTTTGATTAAGTCATGGACCCAACCGCCACAGAATTTCTTTTGGGGAAGGAAAGGGAGTTCAAAATCCGCATTAGAATTTCTCAGGCCCACCTCTAATGGCACCACAATCAGGCTCTAGAAGCCTATTTGTCCTGGGCACCATTTAAAGGAATGGTGCTAGATTCTATGGAACAGGAATGTAAAGAACATATTATAGCTGCTACTTAATGGATTATGTCAAATCCAGAGGTTGTTATTCAGGCAAACTTCCACAGCTTCATTTGAAGTTGAGTAAAAACTGAGTTAAAGAACCACAGGATTTGGGATAGTTTATATTAAAATTCTAAAAGTTTCCATGACTCCCAGCGACCTCCATGACTTCAGCCTGCGGTGGTTGGGAGCTGTAGGGTCACCTGCTGCCTCTGGCGGCCCTCAAAGCACCAAGCTACCGCAGGCGGTGGGGTACACCGCAGCCCCCATCCCCCGTGGGCAGGGAGGGAACCCTGCAGCTCCTGGCCACCACCGTCAGTGGGGAACCCCCAAGTTCCTGTCCACTGCAGGCCACTGGAGCCACAGGTGGCAGGGGTACCCCACAGCTCCTGGCTGACACAGGAGGCAGGGGCACCCTACAGCTCCTGGCCCCCATGGGCATCCGGGGGACACCCAGAGCTGCAGGCAGCAGGGGTACCCCACAGCCCCAGCACAGCTGCCTTGCTTCAGGCGGTGGGGGGACCCACAGATCCCCATTTTGTCTTGGATATTTTTAGTAGAAGTCACAGACAGGTCACGGCTTCCGTGAATTTTTCCTTTTCCCCCGTGACCTGTCTGTGACTTTTACAAAAAATGTCGGTGACACAATCTTAGCCTTAATCTTGATTTATCAATTCCTGCAACCTATTACTGTACCTCAAGTCCTGAATACTCCCGCCCTCTGCCCCTCAACATATCCCATTCTGGGAAAGTTGTACAGAATTTGATAGGGACAAAACCCACAAGGTTGTGTAGACGTTTACTGAAGTGCTACAAACAGAAAAGACTGAGGAATGATGGAACATAGACAGTTTAGTAGAGGGAAATCCTTTCTGTAGGATGGGGAAAAGTCTATAGAATTATACAATAAGAATACAGTTTTTATTACATACTATGGGACTGTGTATCAGAGGGATAGCCGTGTTAGTCTGTAGTCACAAAAACAATGAGGAGTCCGGTGGCACCTTAAAGACTAACTGATTTATTTGGGCATAAGCTTTCGTGGGTAAAAAACCCACTTCTTCAGATGCATGGAGTGAAAATTACATAAATATTTATGCCTGTATCTATAATTTTCACTCCATGCATCTGAAGAAGTGGGAGTTTTTACCCACGAAAGCTTATGCCCAAATAAATCTGTTAGTCTTTAAGGTGCCACCGGACCGCTCATTGTTTTTATAAGACTGTATAGTCACAGTCTCTTTACATATTTTACTCTCTCTCTACTGTTGAGTTCTGAATCCCCCATCCCAAGGCCATCTACAATTTATAGTCATTAAATCTCTTAAGACAATTTTTTTTTAAAAGCAAAGGACCAGAATTTAAAAGCAAACATTAACCAGGTTAGTGTTAATGAGAGAAAAGTTTGCTTAGGTTGCCATTGAGGAGAGATTCTTACTTTGCCAAATGAACTCAGACCATTCAGATTAGGATAAAAGTTATGTACTTGCTTTGATGAAGATTCTGCCCTTCAAAAAGAAAACACGTAAGAAACCATTGCATTATTCTAGTGGGTTAGATCCAAACAATCAAATTTCACACAAACACAGTATAAAACCCTCACCCTGAAGTCATATAGCTGAGATTAAAGATGATAAACATAGCTCTCATTCATGCAATGTCATGCTTGTATCTCACTCCTAGACATTAGTCATCCAGGTCAGAACTAGTTCACATGGGTGAGGAGGCACTTTGCGGAAGTGCATGCTGTCTAATGCTGCAACACTTCTAGGGGTCACTAGCAGACTTCAGGGCTATCAATCTGGTATCTTTCACCAAAACTAAGTTCACTTTTAAACTTGCACCCGCGCTGTCTGACCAGGGCCAGGTTGGGTGAGGAAGAAAAGGAATTACAGCAATGCAATAACATGGTGATTCTTAGGCCTGAGTGCAGCATGGGTACAGGTTACTTTTTAAATGTTAGAATAAAGAATGCTTTTGTTGACTTATTTCTTGTGGGTGTTACAGCAGAGGTGGGTCTTTAGGACTAGTCAGAGAGTGGTGGTCTTCATGAGCAATTCCTGAAGACAGTGTAGAAAGATATGACAATGGCTCTGTAAGAAGTGGATACAGGATGTTGAGGCTGGCATCAACAGCCAAACAGAGGAAACCGGTGGGCAATGTGTCAGAACTAGATCAGTAGGAAGGAGCAGAGTTATGCAGGGCCATTTTCTACTGTTAGCTGTTCTTCACCCCTATATGGGTCTGTGTGACTCAGGAATTAGAAATATGATTTGCAGGCTTTGGTATTTAGGTCACCAGTTTTAACCCAGCATAGAACGTTACTGCTCAGAAGCTGTTTGTGGAAAAAACGGACATAGTGCAGTTCCCAGTGCTGGATGTCTACATCACAATTAGCTCCCTCAATAAAAACTACTAAGACTGAAGAAGTGTGTGGACGCCTCTCACACCATGACAGGAGTATGGCAATGACATTTTCCTTGCTGGACAATTCTGTGGACAGAGGATTTAAGGCTGACCCTAGAAGAAGCTGCAGGATGAGGGGGGCTCTACACAGACTTAAGGGCTGATGTATGACTGTGGGTTAGAAAAGCATTGCTCATCACCCCTAGTGTGGCGGAGGGAGGCATGACAGCAAAGTCTTCTAGGAGATGGATCAATCTGCTTCTTACAGGGAGAGTTTGGGATCCAATTCCTTCCTTCACTGGGTGTGCTTGGCCAGCAGGCGGGAGAGGCAAGAGGTGTATGATATGGAGGTGTGTGAACCGAGCTCCAGCCCACCCATGTGCAGTACACAAGCCTTCACAGCAACACATGTGGTATGTGCTTGGGGCTGGCCAAAGAGGAGAGTTTCCAGTGCCGTCAAGAGCTGAATTCACACACAGCACTCACCACGCCAATAAGGAATGTATGAAATTAGCTGAATCAACAGAAAACCCTTTCTTACTGCCTCTCCTGACTGTAACAAACTTTTTACCAGTCTCAGTAACATTCCTTCCAGAAGAGAAACGTATCTGTTACATCCTGTTCTAGTTTTCTCACAAAGCAATGGAGATGATGACTTGCCTGTATTTATTTTGCCAACAAACTAAAATAGATCCCAGGATGTCACTGAAATGCCAAGTGGCAGACAGATTCTCCTTCTTTAACCCACCACATAACAAGCGGACCTATCCAAAGGACACCAGTCACCCTTCAACAAATCCACCATTAGTCACAGATAGCAGTCTCCCACATTTTTCAAACCAATTTTGGCCCATCTTAAAACTGCCATCCCTTTGCACTGGAAAAGTAAGCATTACAGAGACTAGTGCACATCAGTTACCATGGAGTATTGCAGGTGTGCGTTAAAGACATGTACCGAACACCCAGGTCATAATACATCCTTAGCGTTGCGAGACTGCTGTCAATGGAATGGCCACCTTCTATTCCAATCAAGCATGCTATCTTTTTACTATCAGCAATACCTGGAGTTTAAAGGGAAAATAAATGCCACAGTAAATTGAAGACAAAGACTTAGAGCTATCTGCATTGAGCAGCAGACAATCATTTCACAACCATAAATGCCAATACTAACATTCTTAATATGCAATGTGTGATATGCCAAGTACTTCATCTCACGTATATTCCCTCCTGCAATCTCATTAAAGAAACATTTTCATTATAAAAAAGTATCACCTTGAGAAGTAGTAACAAGTTCAAGTTCTGGATAGATCTGACACATCCTCTTGACAACATCAATCTGCTCTAGGGTCAGACGCACAGCATCCTTGTTCTGAGCGCTACACAGAACATACACTGACCAAAACTGAAAAAGAAACATTGATAGGCCAAACCACAAGTTCATGGACTTCATTATCAGCAAAAAGATGAGACTCATAAATAAAACCACTTCCTCCTCAGCAATTTGTCAGGGAGCTTTCATCATTGGGATATTCCAAAGGAACACCTAATCTGACTGGGGCACGCTCTCTGATACGAGGCTCTTGGCACCCCCAATCATTCACACAGTCTTCCAAGGACAGGAGGATAAGACAACTTATTAATTCAGTTGCTGTAAAAAACCCAACACTTTGGATAAGTGGAGCTGGATTCTGCAAAGACATTTTAAAGTCTGGCGAATGCAAATATATAAAAGTTTCTGTAGCCATGCAGTTTTCCCTTTTTTCTATCATGGGTTGAATCAAAATCCCAGGTCTGAACCACCTCTTCTAAACTATGGCATAGCCAAAATCTGGATGTGTATCTGGATTTTGCTCAGATCCATCTATAGTCTAAGAGATCCATGTCATAGCACCAACAGTACACACCTGAGCTCCGACATGGCCAGACTGAAGTTTCTGAATATTTGTGACTGTGGTGTTGAGAATTTTTAAGTTGATTTTACTTAGTCTGTTTTGGTACAATATCCTCAGTCGTAATGGAAGGTCATTGTGCCTAAGAAGTAAAATAATAGCATTAATGATACAAAGAAGCTTGTCCTTTCCTAATGTTTATTTATCTATCTCCTTTTAGTTCCCCTTGAATGTTCACTGCCAACATCCTTGCAACAGTTCTCTAACGGGTGAAGAGCTTGCAAACCTGGCAAAAAAAAATGTAATTGAGTAGCTGAGTGGTACACTTTAAGCACTATCTTACCAAAGCTATTGCTCCCAAATTATGATAAACCCCACCCACTTTTCTCCGACCACTTTAAGCACTGCCTCACAGCGAGGTTTGTTCAGAGCCTCACTTTCTGTAACAAATTTCATTCCTCGCAGATCTTTTTTTCTGTTGGCCTGAAGGTTTTTCCCCTCTCACTCCTTGATGCTGAAGTTTCTCTCATAAGCCCCTCTTTCCACCTTATTCTTCTAGCTCCATTCCCATCTCCACTCTTTCTGTTCAGATGCTGGATCTGCAAATAGCAGCCATGCTATTGGCAGACAAGTTTGATTTTAGAATTTAATTTGAGTTACAGCACAATAGTATCTGAGTGCTCGAGTGATCCCTTTCCTTTATGTTCCTGGATCACATCAGACTCAACACAAACATTGTTCCTCCAAGCTGCCTGGGCACGCTTTCATATCATGCTGTCGGCTTTATAAACATATACAAAAGGAAGTAAAAAGTTATAGCTGAAGAAGGGTATTATAAAACTATAGAAAGGAGATGGTGAATTGCATAACACAAAAGTAGATAAACGCTGAAATTCTCCCAAAGACTAATGCAACTTGATCCAAGGGAGTTTATAAATAGCCTTTGAATTCAAATTGAAAATGCCTTCAGAGTGATAAACTAAGGCAATGAGACATAAATGCTCTGCCACAGGTGCTGCTTACATCTCTAATCCTCAGAACTTGCTAAGATCCACTGACAAAATGCAACAATGGATGGGCCTCTGCTTTGAGAGCCCAGGGTGAAATCAGAATTGGTTGCGCTGCTCAGGGAGGGCCAGATTAATGCAAGGGCTTTAGGGGCTGCAGCCCAGGGCCTCGGGCTAAGGGGGCCCCGAAGCCTGGATGCAGCCCACTTCTTCTTTTCATCTGGCCTGCAGCAAGTCTCTGTGCTGCCGGCCGGACACTGGTCCTCGACCCTCGGCACCCCGCCCCCGCCCCCAGGCTGGAGCCATGAGCGCCAGCTCACCGATGTGCCCCTGCAGCCCCTAGGCGAGGGGTATTCAGGGAATCTCTGCATGCTGCCCAGGCCCCCAGCGCCGGCTCTGCAGCTCCCATTGGCCAGGTACCACCCTGCTGTGCCGCTGACCAGGAGCTGCCCAAGGTAAGTGCCTCCCAGCCAGAGCCTGCACCCCAACCCCCTGTCCCATCCCTGGCCCCACCCCAGAGTCCACTCCCCCAAGCTGGAGCTGCACCCCCTCCCGCACCCCAATCCCCTGCTCCAGCCCTGAGCCCACTCCAAACCCCAAGGGGCCCCACAAAATCTAATAGGCCCGGGCCTACAGGAGAGTTAATTCAGCCCTGTGCTCAGGGTTTACAGGATTTAGCCCTTAGTCTCCCATTGTAACAGGCAGAGGATAAGGTGGGGCCTTAAAATACACCAATATTTGTTTACAAGGACAGAAACTGAAAATCTACCATTGAAGTGTTCAGTTTGCTAGACCCATATCTTTCAGATTTTCAATAATTGGTGGTGAATGGTTGGTTCTCTTGTTGCATCTCATAAGTGATCTAGGAGGTTCACTATAAAGTACAGTTATATTTAATATGCTTTGCTAGTCTTAAGTATGTGTGTGTAAGGAAACCAAGGTGTTGTTTTATGGTATATGGGAAGGGGTGAATTAAAGGTTTTTGGCTGGTTTTCAGGCTATTTGATGTAACTCTTCTCCAAACAAAAAATATATATTTTATTACAAGTAATTTAGCATCTCCCCTCAGCCCCTACAGAACCCTTTCTTAGACCTGGTCTACACTGTGGGGGGATCGATCTAAGTTACACAACTTCAGCTATGTGAATAACCTAGCTGAAGTTGACGTACTTAGACCTACTTACCGCGGTGTCTTCACTGCGGTGAGTCAACTGCTGCCACTCCCCCGTCAACTCTGCCTGTGCTTCTCACAGTGGTGGAGTACAGGAGTCAACGGGAGAGCGCTCGGGGGTCGATTTATCGCATCTAGACTAGATGCGATAAATCAACCCCCGCTGGATCAACCGCTGTCCGCCGATCCGGCGGGTAGTATAGACATACCCTTAGTCTACTAGCTACATAAATTGGTCTTGATCCATCTATCTTCCATGCCCGCATATAGGGTATATTGAATACCTAAGGATACCTTCTGTTTAGGTCACCATTTTAGAAATGTTAACCCAGTTAATGAAAGATACCAAGATGTATTGGGAAAAAAAGACATTCTACATACCCATCAATTAAAGGGGCTTGCTTCATTAGCTCAACAGCCTTTTCTCTGATGGATTTATCAATTCTGAAAGCCAAAACATCCAAGATGAGCAGCAAGAGCCACGGGAACAGCTTCATAGGATCGCTATTCATTTCCACAAAGATGTTAACTAGAGAAGAAGGCTGCCACCATAGAGTGTTGGTTGTGAAGAAGCAGCAAATTTCCAGTCTGCAAAGGTTCTAGACTTAATGATTTTGGCAGAACTGCTGTGTCTCTGTCATTGGTAAGGCACAGGTGGTGAAGGAAGTTCTGAAGGCAAACAAAAGGAATGAAGAGAGTAAGAAAGGAGATTAGAGGTGGATGATGTTCATGGTAAGAGATTAAGACTTCTGACTGTTGTTTGAAAGTTGAGCAGCAGATATTTGCAGTTATACCTTCCTTCCAAACAGTGTTGCTACCAGCTGAAATTAAAGAAAGCATTTACCCATTTTGCAGCTGGAGGAAATGGGTGGGCTTGGATTTGCATCTACCAACTAGTAATTACATGTCCAAAGCATGTAACTAAAGTTATGTATCTAGTTGCCCAAGTGAAATTAACTGATCTGCATGTACAAATAAGCTGATTTCCTCTCCTTTGAAACTTTCAGTGAAATTGTTCACCAAAATTCCAAGTCTCATTTGAAAGCAAGCTTTTTATTGTGTAAAAAATAAATGCACTGCAATGAGTGAAGCAATGAACCCACTGTATAAAGTGTATTTTCTGAGTGAAGCAATCTGAATGCAATACTTTCATTATGATATAGTTGAGTAACCAGAGCACAATCTGAAAGGGTCAGTTGTTGTTTTAAATTTATTTCTATTAAGGAGAGCTGAACATGGAACCCTGCTAAGAAATAATAAAAAGAAAAGGAGTACTTGTGGCACCTTAGAGACTAACCAATTTATTTGAGCATGAGCTTTCGTGAGCTACAGCTCACTTCATCGGATGCAGACTAACAGACTAACATGGCTGTTACTCTGAAACCTAAGAAATAATGTGAGCATTCTTCCCTACCTTTTGTATAGAAGTCCAGATAATAGTAATACTTAAGCACTTCTACAGCATCTTTTAAGTGTGAATCAGGAAGCATCTTACAAACATTAACTATACCTGACAGTATGATATAAATATTAAACCTGTGAGCAAATGAAGATGCCATCGTAAGGAGGAAATATTTTTTCCAGCATTGAAGTCAATGGCAGAGCTATGAATAAAACCCAAAAGATTCCTGACCACTGTTCCCTGCTCCAACAATACCTCATGTTGGATGTCATATACTGGCAGTGATACAGTTCAGTAATTTTAACATCACAATGCCGGTGTTGTCAATCACAGGCATTCAAAAAATCATGAGTCAAGCCCCAAAAGAGTATGAATTTTTTTAAAAACAGCTTTTTATTTGCCTTCTGGTTTATGAGCCTTTATTGTTTGTATTCTTAAGCTTTTCTCCGCAACAATGGAAGCTAGAAACAGCTCTCTCATTAATAAAGTAGGATGTTGGGAGGTGTATGATAAAATCACAAGGGTTGGCAACAGATTTGGGCTTGATGTAGGAATTAATGGGTGGGTTGTAAGTTGCCTGTGTTGTGCCGGTGAGCATAACATAAGAACTGCCTTACTGGGTCAGACCAATTGTCCATCTAGCCTAGAATCCTATCTCCAATAGTGACCAATACCAGACCTTCAGGGGGAACATACAGAAAAAGGCAATTTTGGAGAGATCCACCTTGTTTTCCCCTCCCAGCTTCTGGCAGTCAGAGGTTTAGGGTCACCCTGAGTGTGACATTCCATCCCTGACCATCTTGGCCTTAGCAATTGATGGACCTATCCTCCAGGAACTTATCTAGTACTTTTTGTTTTTAACCCAGTTATACTTTTGGCCATCACAACATCCCATGGCAAGTTAATTATGGATTGTGAGAAAAAGTATTTCCTTTTGTTTGTATTAAACCTGCTGCCTATTAATTTCATTGGGTAATCGCTGGGTTTTGTATTGCGGGCAAGGGTAAATAAACACTTCCCTGTTCGCTATTTCCCCACATAGTGATTTTATAGACCTCTATCATATACACCCTTAATCGTCTCATTTTTAAGTGGAACAGCCCTAATCTTTTTAGTCTCTCCTCATATGGAAGCTGTTCCATACCCTTGACTATCTTTGTTGCCCTTCTCTGAACCTTTTCCAGTTCCACCATATACTTTTTGAGACAGAGCAACCAGAACTGGACACAGTATTCAAGGTGTGTGTGCCTCATGGATTTATATAGTGGCATTATGGTATCTTCTTTCATATTTTCTATCTCTTTCCTAATAGTTCCTAACATTCTGTTAGCCTTTTTTACTGTTGCTGCACATTGACTGCTGCTGCTGCAGTTTTCAGAGGACTATCCACAATAATTTCAAGATCTCTTTCTAGAGTGGCAACAGCTAATTTAGAACCCATCATTACATATGTGTAGTTGGGATAATTTTTCCTATGTACATTACTTTGCACTTGTCAACGTTGAATTTTATCTGCTCAAACTAGTTAGTGGTTTCTCCTGGTCTTAAAATTTCAGTTACTATAACTGAAAAATTAAAGAAAATTTTTTTACTTGGTGCATTTGATGGAATTTCCTTTCTCGTCTTTTTCACTCTCCCCTGCACAATCTGTTTCCCCTTCAAGTGGGCCTCCCAGAGCAACAGGAGAAAAGACACCCTTATTAAACAAATTAATAATTATAAAACCACAGAATCTGGAGATCCAGAGACAGCTGCACTCCCAGATATGAATTTAAATCATTTTAAATTAATTCCATAATGATTCTGTCCCTTTTAGAAAGTTATTGTTTTCATTGGAGTGGAACTTTAGATTACAAAACCCAAACTGAACGTAAGTGAATAGATTTGTTTCCATTAAATTTCAAAACATTCTGGTCACAACAGTTTGTTGTTATAAGATTTTGAGACAATTCTTACCCAAACACTACACTATTTTGCTGATATATCACGTTGACTGGAGTCTGAAATAAAAAGGTTGACCAGACTATTTGCACTGTCCAAGCTCAAAGGAATGCAAATAAGATGATTAAATAAGAATGTAGGGGTTATTTAAAAAAAAAAAAAGAGTTTGCTTTTAATAATGTAAGGTGTTGTTAGCTCAGTTAGAACTTTTAAAAACTCTAATTTAACCCAACACTACCCCTTTAATATGTGCTCTCACCTGAAAGGAAAAGAATACTAAAGATATTAAAATAAAAATCCTTTTGAAAGCACATTGTGGGAGTGACATTTTATTCTTCCCGCACTTATTCTCTTTTGCTAGATTTCTACAGAACATGGAGCAATACTGCGGTGGTTCAATACCCACTCTTCCAGACTAACAGCTGGCAGTCTGCTCCCAAACTTGCCTTCCAAAATCAAATTCATGCGGATAAAGATTATGCGTGGAACCTATTCTGAATATTACCTTTAGGTTCACAGGGGTACCACTGGCCCTTTGGGCTTGGAAAGATGCCAGCTCCTGTTCTGGTCATTTCCTTTTTCTTTGGCAGATTCCAAATGTGTTTTTTCTTTGGAGGAACAAGCACAGTTCCTTTTCCATGCCAGAAGTGTGTGAAGCTGTACAGTAAACACAAGCTTGCAGGCACTTGGAAAGCTGCCAAACATGTGGATGGAACGATACTACAGTATCTGCAAATGAAAAACATGCTTATTGGAAAAACAACGCCTCATGAAGAACACTTTAATTGTCAACTCCCAGAGGATTAACCCTGCCATGACCACCTGGTTCAGGCCAGCAGCTACAGGACCCTGTCTTGTGACATTAGTTCCCAGACTAACCAAACCCAGCCTGGGCTGCTTCAAAAGCCAGAAAAAACAAGCCAGTCTGTGTTTAACAGCCTGAATATAGTACCACCTTTATATTGATTAAATCCCAAGCACTGCTCCTTCAGTGAGCACCAAATTCCATGCTCGCTTTAATCAGAGGAGTAGCCCCGCACTGTTCCCTTCTCCTCATTCCAATCTCAGAGAACTCCCACTACTGTACCAGGTTCAGAGAAAATTGTCTAACCATTCTCCAACACAGGCTAGCCAGTCCCTCTGGATTTTCACAGGGTTTGTGCCACAACTGAAAGAAGAAGCAATCTTTCCCCAATCTGATCTACAGCCACAGAAATCTTCCATGTTTCTCCCATGTTGCCTGGCCATTCTACACTGCAACCCAGGAGCCTCTTAGAACCAACTGGCAAGAGGCTCAGAGGGGGCACATAAGGGTTACAGGGATCTCCTGCATCTGGTGCATATATTGTAATTCACCAAAGAGGATCATGTGAAGTGTCAAATAAAAGCTGGCTCCACTTTGGTCGCTAGTATCATCACGAAACACACATAGCCCTGGTCTACACTACAAGTTTAGGTCGGATTTAGCAGCATTACATCAGTTTAGCCCTGCACCCGTCCGCACTACGAAGCCATTTTTTCTGACTTTAAGGGCTCTTAAAACCTGTTTCTGCACTCCTCCCCGATGAGTGGATTAGCGCTGAAATCGACCTCGCTGGGTCGAGTTTGGGGTAGTGTGGATGCAATTCGATGGTATTGGCCTCCGGGAGCTATCCTAGAGTGCTCCATTGTGACCACTCTGGACAGCACTCTCAACTCAGATGCACTGGCCAGGTAGACAGGAACTTTTGAATTTCATTTCCTGTTTGGCCAGCTTGGCGAGCTCTTCAGCACAGGTGACCATGGAGTCCCAGAATCGCAAAAGAGCTCCAGCATAGACCAAACAGGAGGTACTGGATCTGATCGCTGCGTGGGGAGATGAATCCGTGTTATCAGAACTCCGTTCCAAAAGACAAAATGCCAAAATATCCGAAAAAATCTCCAAGGGCATGAAGGACAGAGGCTATCACAGGGACCTGCAGCAGTGCCGAGTGAAACTTAGGGAGCTCAGGCAAGCCTACCAAAAAACCCAAGAGGCAAATGCCCACTTGGGGTCAGAGCCCCAGACATGCCGCTTCTATGATGAGCTGCATGCAATTCTAGGGGGTGCCCCTACAACTGCCCCACCCCTGTACGTGGACTCCTGCAAGGGGGAAGTCTCACGCAACAGGGATGAGGATCTGGGGGACAAGGAAGATGAGGAGGAGGGGGAGGTTGAAGATAGCGCACACCAGGCAAGCGGAGAAACAGTGAAATCCTTGCGGATCGTAAACATAACAAAGAAGCTTACAAAATGTGGAAGATTGGACAAATGACCAGGGAAGAGTATAAAAATGTTGCTCGGGCATGTAGGAATGAAATCAGGAGGGCCAAATCGCATCTGGAGCTGCAGCTAGCAAGAGATGTTAAGAGTAACAAGAAGGGTTTCTTCAGGTATGTTGGCAACAAGAAGAAAGCCAAGGAAAGTGTGGGCCCCTTACTGAATGAGGGAGGCAACCTAGTGACAGAGGATGTGGAAAAAGCTAATGTACTCAATGCTTTTTTTGCCTCTGTCTTCACGAACAAGTTCAGCTCCCAGACTGCTGCGCTGGGCAACACAGCATGGGGAGTAGGTGGCCAGCCTTCTGTGGAGAAAGAAGTGGTTAGGGACTATTTAGAAAAGCTGGACATGCGCAAGTCCATGGGGCCGGAGGCTAATGTAGTGCCCATCTTTAAAAAAGGGAAGAAGGAGGATCCTGGGAACTACAGGCCAGTCAGCCTCACCTCAGTCCCCGGAAAAATCATGGAGCAGGTCCTCAAAGAATCAATCCTGAAGCACTTACACGAGAGAAAAGTGATCAGGAACAGTCAGCATGGATTCACCAAAGGAAGGTCATGCCTGACTAATCTAATCGCCTTCTATGATGAGATTACTGGTTCTGTGGATGAAGGGAAAGCAGTGGATGTATTGTTTCTTGACTTTAGCAAAGCTTTTGACACGGTCTCCCACAGTATTCTTGTCAGCAAGTTAAAGAAGTATGGGCTGGATGAATGCACTATAAGGTGGGTAGAAAGTAGGCTAGATTGTCGGGCTCAACGGGTAGTGATCAATGGCTCCATGTCTAGATGGCAGCCGGTATCAAGTGGAGTGCCCCAAGGGTCGGTCCTGGGGCCGGTTTTGTTCAATATCTTCATAAATGATCTGGAGGATGGTGTGGATTGCACTCTCAGCAAATTTGCGGATGATACTAAACTGGGAGGAGTGGTAGATACGCTGGAGGGCAGGGATAGGATACAGAGGGACCTAGACAAATTGGAGGATTGGGCCAAAAGAAATCTGATGAGGTTCAACAAGGATAAGTGCAGGGTCCTGCACTTAGGACAGAAGAATCCAATGCACCACTACAGACTAGGGACCCAATGGCTAGGCAGCAGTTCTGCGGAAAAGGACCTAGGGGTGACAGTGGACAAGAAGCTGGATATGAGTCAACAGTGTGCCCTTGTTGCCAAGAAGGCCAATGGCATTTTGGGATGTATAAGTAGGGGCATAGCGAGCAGATCGAGGGACATGATCATTCCCCTCTATTTGACATTGGTGAGGCCTCATCTGGAGTACTGTGTCCAGTTTTGGGCCCCACACTAGAAGAAGGATGTGGATAAATTGGAGAGAGTCCAGCGAAGGGCAACAAAAATGATTAGGGGTCTGGAACACATGATTTATGAGGAGAGGCTGAGGGAACTGGGATTGTTTAGTCTGCAGAAGGGAAAAATGAGGGGGGATGTGATAGCTGCTTTCAACTACCTGAGAGGTGGTTCCAAAGAGGATGGTTCTAGACTATTCTCAGTGGTAGAAGATGAGAGGATAAGGAGTAATGGTCTCAAGTTGCAGTGGGGGAGGTTTAGGTTGGATATTAGGAAAAACTTTTTCACTAAGAGGGTGGTGAAACACTGGAATGCGTTACCTAGGGAGGTGGTAGAATCTCCTTCCTTAGAAGTTTTTAAGGTCAGGTTTGACAAAGCCCTGGCTGGGATGATTTAATTGGGGATTGGTCCTGCTTTGAGCAGGGTGTTGGACTAGATGACCTCCTGAGGTCCCTTCCAACCCTGATATTCTATGATTCTATGATTAAACCATTCTCCCCGACAGCCAGGAACTGTTTATCACCTTGGCATCAGCGTGATGACAGGAGGCAGAATGCAATGCTGAGGCTACTGGAGGATCAAACTGATATGCTCCGGCGTATGGTTGACGTGCAGGAATGGGAGCAGCAGCACAGACCGCCGCTGCAGCCCCTGTGTAACCAACCACCTTCCTCCCCAAGTTCCATAGCCTCCTCACCCAGATGCCCAAGAACGCGGTGGGAGGGCCTCCAGGCACCCAACCACTCCACCCAAGAGGACTGTCCAAGCAACAGAAAGCTGGCATTCAATAAGTTTTGAAGTGCTGTGTGGCTTTGTCCTTCCATCCTCTCCTCCTCCCCCACCCCACCTGGTGCTTCCCTCCTCCCTCACCCCTCTCGGGCTATCTTGGCAGTTATCCCCCCATTTGTGTGATGAATTAATAAAGAATGCATGAATGTGAAACAACAATGACTTTATTGCCTCTGCAAGTGGAGATCAAAGGGGGGAGGGGAGAGTGGTTGGCTTAGAGGGAAGTAGAGTGAACCAAGGGGTGGGTTTTCATCAAGAAACAAACAGAATCTTCACACCGTAGCCTGGCCAGTCATGAAACTGGTTTTCAAAGCTTCTCTGATGTGCACCATGCCCTGCAGTGTTCTTCTAACCGCCCTGGTGTCTGGCTGCGCATAATCAGAGGCCAGACGATTTGCCTCAACCTCCCACCCCGCCATAAACGTCTTCCCCCTTACTCTCACAGATATTATGGAGCACACAGCAAGCAGTAATAACAGTGGGAATATTGGTTTCGCTGAGGTCTAAGCGAGTCAGTACACTGCGCCAGCACACTTTTAAACATCCAAATGCACATTCTACCACCATTCTGCACTTGCTCAGTCTATAGTTGAACAGCTCCTGACTACTGTCCAGGGTGCCTGTGTATGGCTTCATGAGGCATTAAGGTGTAGGCTGGGTCCCCAAGGATAACTATAGGCATTTCAACATCCCCAATGGTTATTTTCTGGTCTGGAAAGTAAGCCCCTTGCTGCAGCTGTTGAAGCAGACCAGAGTTCCTGAAGATGCGAGCGCCATGTACCTTTCCCGGCCATCCCCACGTTGATGTTGGTGAAATGTCCCTTGTGATCCATCAGTGCATTGCAGCACCTTGTGGTTTATGTACTCACTGCCTTGGTGCTCCGGTGCCAAGATAGGGATATGGGTTCCGTCTATCGTCCCACCACAGTTAGGGAATCCCATTACAGCAAAGCCATCTACTATGACCTGCACATTTCCCAGAGTCACTATCCTGGATATCAGCAGCTCCATGATAGCGTTGGCTACTTGCATCACAGCAGCCCCCACAGTAGATTTGCCCACTCCAAATTGATGCCTGACTGACCGGTAGCTATCTGGCATTGCAAGCTTCCACAGGGCTATTGCCACTCACTTCTCAACTGTGTGGGCTGCTCTCATATTGGTATTCTTGCACTTCAGGGCAGGGGAAAGCAAGTCACAAAGTTCCATGAAAGTGCCCTTACGCATACGAAAGTTTCGCAGCCACTGGGAATCGTCCCAGACCTGCAACACTATGTGGTCTCACCAGTCTGTTTCCCCGTGCCCAGAATCGGCGTTCCACGACATGAGCCTGCCCCATT